TGGACGTTTTTTTTTTTTTTTGGGATACCTTCTACTAATCAAGTTTGGCAGACTTCGCAAAATTTTTAGGATCCAAAAAACCTACAGATTTTGCGAAGTGCTCAGTATTTTGGTTCTCCAGCCTGAAGTATTTGGAATTTTTGAAAAAAAAAAAAAACGTCCGCCCCGATTGGGTCCGTCTACCCACAGTAAAAATTTCAGCTCAAACGGATGAAATCTGGGGAGTCCAGGGGGGGCAAAACTTTTTGCAAATTTTTGACCTTGGGGTCTCTGGAAGTCCATGAAGATAACGTCTGGCAAATTTATGTCCATGACAACTTTTGCTCTACTACTCGAGGTCTATCTACCCTGAAAGTTTCAGGAATTTTCATTGGGCCGTTTCTTAGAAACGCCGGAAAGGGGGGGGGTCCCCTTAATACTAGAAGAAAGAATAGTTAGAATACTTTTTTAGAGATTAATTTTAGTAGTCTACTCACGTGGAATCCAATAAGCATATTTCACACTACATATTCACAAATGGTTGCTTATTTTCTAAGCCTTTTCGATTTGAATGATATCAGGGTCCTCAACTATCGAACAAAACATCAGAATAGCTATGCAAGCTGATTCTTTTATTTCTGATTGCATACCTATCGAATAACGTCTCTATAACGAGTAGAAAACGCTTCACTAACGATACTTCCCTACAAGCACGCTCAAAAACAAAGATTTTCTTATATAGAATCATTTTCACTTGAGCAAAATCCTGATGAAACATATTATATCGATCAAAAGCTTCTACATTAATTCCTCCGCTTTATCAATCAACTCTATCTGAGTAGCCATCTCATTCTCTTCGATTTCAATAATCTAAGATCATATTAATGATCAACTCGAAAATCTGCTTCACTTTAGGAAATATCGTACCTTCATTTCATACCTCGTTCGAAAGCTTACTATTCTTATGCTTTCAGTCGTAAATTCATCTCGATGAATTCTATAATTCATTCGATGTTACATGAAATGTTTTTTTTTCTTACATATGTAATCATCTCAACAGGTAGATGAGTTATTTTAAATGATTTCATAAAATATTTCTAACTTATCATTTATACTTTTCAATACTACATTTTCTCTATCTATTCAGGTGTTTATTTAATTTCATGAATACAACACTTTCCTAATTTTTCTTTCTCTCTCATAACATGGCTCTGGAATTCTGTGAGTTCTAATCAACTAATTAAATTAAAACATTTTTTCACTTTTACTTTTTAGACTCGTTTTAGATAGCCATATATACCGTAAGTTTATTCCAAATATTAAATTAAAATACAATTTCATCTTAATTCATCGATTTGTTTCGAAAGTCGAAAAAAAGTGTGAATTAATTCAATTTATTAAATAAAAATACAATCTTTAACTTTTGTTTGGAGATTCGATCCGTATTTATTAATATATCCGATGAGTTTATTCCAATGACTAAATGAAAATGAAATTCTATTTTTATTTTTAGATTCGTGGGATATCGATAGATCTAGTGAGTTTGAATCAATTTATCAAATTAAAATGAAATTTTGTTTTTGATTTTAGATTCGTTTTATAACTCAATATGTCCGGTGAGTTCATTGGAATTACTAAATAAGAATGAAAGTTCATTTTTACTTTTAGATTCGCTGTCTGGCAATAGATTCAGGGAGTTTGAATCGATGAATAAAATAAAAATACAATTTTATTTTCAGTTTTTGGATTCATGCGATATTGGTAGATCCGGTAAGTTTCAAACAATTTATTAAATTAAAATAATATTTTATTTTATTTTTATCTTCGTTTTATATTTCAATACATCATGTAAGTTTATTTCAATTACTAAATGAAAATGAAGTTTCGCTTTTACGTTTAGATTCGTTTTATATCTCAATATATCTGGTGAGTTTACTCCAATTACAACATGAACATGAGATTTTATTTTTATTTTTAGATTCATTTAATATCGATCGATTTGGTAAGTTTGAATCAATTTTCTAAATTAAAGTTTCATTTTTATTTTTAGACTCGTGTGATATCGATATATTCTGTGAGTCTGAATCAATGCATTAAATAAAAATACAATTCTATTTTCATTTTTAGATTCGTTTTATATTCATAGATCTGGTGAGTTGGACAAAAATTCTTTAAAATTAAAAAACAGTTTCATTTTTATTTGTAGATTCGCTTTATATATTAGTATATATGGAAAGTTTGTTCAAATTATTGTACGAAAATGAAATTTTATTTTCATCCTTAGAATTGTTTTCTCGCAATAGGTCGGGTGAGTTTGAATCAATTTAGTAAATTAAAATATAATTTTCTTTTTATTTTTAGATGATTGTCGTAGGGTAATGTTTGATGAGCTATGAAATTCGTTCATTAACTATTTTGGTTGAATTATGTTTTACATGCGAATGGGTGCTCATTAGTTTTGATGTGGTTGAATGTGAAGAAAACGGGTAAGTTTAGATGATTTTCGATGAAAAATTGTTTCTTTTGTTCATTTTTTAGGTGGAGAAGGCCGTTATATTTAGCTTCTTGATGGTTTGGTAATGGTGCGACGAAGTGCATCTGGATAATTAAAGTTTTTCTTTAAATTCCGTGTGTTGCTGACCTTTAATGTGTGTTCTAGTTATTTCTTGGTGCGAATAGATTCACAGCAGAACCTCATTGAATGTCTGTGGCCGCTGTGAATGCCTGTTGCTGTTGACAGAGAAGTGATGGATTCCTGTCTAGGCTAGTTTGGTAGAGCTTTAACCGCATTCGGAAACCTTTTCTTTGGGTTTTCAAAGAGGTTTTTGAGGTTTAGCTATAACGGGTACTATGGGTTTCCGAGGCCTCGGAAACCCTTCTTCGGAAACCCTTAAAGGGTTTCCTATAGTAACAAACTCGGAAACCCTCTAAGGGTTTTCGATAATACCTATTTTTTTTAGAGTGTATGCCGATATGCATAAACGATAAAGTCTCAGAAGAGACGAGAGAAAAGAATAAAGGAAAGAAGAAAAACAAAGAAAAGATCACGAAAAGAATGCATATTGGAGACACTGTGAACTTCTGTAATCGATACATATGTTAGGCAAACTAGTTTTATTAGAATTTTGTTATTATGATGTCAAGCGAAGTAGGATCAAATAGCATAGAAAGAAGGAGCATTTTCCGCTCTATCATCCTATGTAAAAAGAATTTTTTATCAACCCTAAAATATGGTAATAAAATGTCGTTGCCACTACTTTTGGATACCCCTAAGTATCATGTTTTAAAGTACACAACAAAAGTTTAAGATACTCTCTATGTTTTCATTTTCTCTCAAGAAACAAGAAACAATAAATATCTTAATATATATATATATATATATATCAATAGTTAGTATTGCGGTCTGGATGTTTTATTAATGCTCAGTCAAGTTGATTACTAACAGCATATATTTAGTTGTTTAAATTGTTTAGACAAATTAAGGTCAGGCTTGTTTAGAAACACCACTTTCGCTCGATTGTAAGATTCAATTGACCGTTGTCGCATCCCATAATTTCTAATATAAATATCACAAATACAAAACCGGTTGAAACAAATCGAAAGTGTATTGAAAAAAATTCTTTTATTTGATTTGCAGACAAAAGCTGAGATCGCAATCAAGTTTCTGAAATTGTTGTCAACTGTGGAAAATGGGTGTGGGTGTGGGTGTGAATGTCATTTGTTTTCCATTAAGCAATACCCACATTCGTAACCACACTCCCACCCCCACCCTCACCCCCACTCACACCCACACCCACACTCACATCCACGCCCACACTCACACCCACATCCACCCACACCCAAAATTTGCTTACCTCTTATTTACCGGCATGAAAGTCTCGAAATCCCTTTGAAAATCCTTTCAAAAAATCCTTAAAACCTCTTAAAATCCTCTGAAGTATCTAGGAAACTTTTGGCACATGCAACTATTAAAAGATTGTAGGACCTAATAGAAGCACCTTCCAAACATCTAGAATGCTTCGACACTTTAGAGGCTCCGGGGGGCTTCTATTATGGGGGGCGAGTTTATGTTAGAAGCAATAGGAGCAATATTGAGTTTCCATTTATCAGAGCATTAGAATGTGTGCTTTTCGTCTTGAAATTAGTGTGTGATAAAGTACCATCTGTGTATTAGATATAAAAACACGATAAACCTTTACAATACTGCTTCATTTCAATACAAGCTATGATCAGAAGTATCATCTGCTATTTCGTTTTCGTTCTTCTCAGGTAAATATCATTGATTTTTATTTTTTATTCTTCTAAAATTTATCGGGTTTCTATTCTAGTGTTACAATCACTACTCAGCAGTTCGGTAAGCTTTTCATTAACGCATCTTAACTCGACTAGATGCTAATTTTAAAGCAGATATATGTAGTTACTTTACATCTAATATTAATCTGCATTAGAAGTAGCACATTACTACTGCTCGTAATAAGTAATAACTAGTGATGTTATTACTTATTATCAGAAATAAATAATAACCACAAAAATGAATAAAGTAATACACAAATAAGATAGTAGAATTACTTCTAATCATTGATTAGATTTCCGATTTCGCACTAAAGCATTATGGCACCGTTAGATTTCATTTTCCCAACATAAAGTGATGTCAATATTTATGCACAGGCTCTCGCTACTGCATACTGCACGGCTCTTTTCTCCTTTAACATATGGGGGTGAGCAACTTGACTGGTACCCCGAAATTAATTTATCGATGTGACTTCATCTACGCGTTAGAAAAATCTGATTTTTTTACCAGTTATACTACATATATAATGCTATTCATCTATCACTAGCTGAAATCTATAGAACACTAGAAATGAGAATTATTAAGTACATCTTTTTATTTACTGTGCCAATCATGCTTCATATCATCTATGTTAACCTGTACCATTCAGACTAAGAGGTTTGAAACAAAACCAAAGATGACTATATAGCTTCATGAACGATTAATAAGAAGATATCATTTATCATTTTGTTTATCTACGAATAGGATGTTTATTTAAGTTCAAATTACATAAAGCAGCAACGACTTGTATGATTTTAGTTATTTTATGAAAATCATCAATAGGTCCTCTGTAAACACCACCAAGAATAACATAAGTTTTGAGCCTTTGATTAATATTTTCAATCGCTGCTCTTGCGCTATTAATATCATGATTGAAATCTTTATCTTCTTGTGTTAATTCACGTCCACGAGGTTTCTTTCTTGGAGTGACTACGTATTCTTCACCGATATATCCCTTGTCACCAATAATTTGTACAGATTCTTCAACATGTTCTAATAGTCCTGATTCTCGAAGAACTGTAATATCATGTATACTTCCATGGTAACATTCAGATACATGTACTATTCGATGGCGAAAATCGCATGCTACCTGCACTTTTATTGCATAATTTGTTGGACTTTTTGCATGATAATATTTTTTACGTTGTTCTGAATCATGCGGTTCATTAATTGCAATAAAAGTCGAGTCAACAATTAGTTTATGATGTTGTTGAGGTCCATGTGGTGTTCTTCTGCTAGCTAGATCAGCAGGTAAAGAAACGAGTGCTGGATATACACACGAATGTAAAATATCCACTACTGTTGATAAGGAATAATTCACCGCTTGTTGACTAAAATTCAATTCTGAAGCAATGTAGCGTTCAGAATGATAACGTTTTAAATACCATAATGTAACCACAAGCAAATTCATAGGAGATAAATATGATGTGGTGGTACTGTTTGCAAGTACCTTGTCTCTATGGGAACAGTAATTTATCAATGGTTCTTCACACATAGAATATAATTCTTGTACTTGTTCAACGTCATGCCCAGTATGCGGTATGCAAGAAACATCAGTACGTTTCCATTCTGACCATGGACGCTGATCTAGAATATATAAAAAAGTGGCTCATAATGATTCATTTTGACTACTAGTGTAGAAGCAGATAATGAGCTAAAGATGCATGCATAAATCACAAAAAGTTGATGTTACTTACTATCATCTAAAGTTTGAAAGCGTTGCTGAATGGCAACTTGCTTCTCTTCTATTTGTTCTTGTCTTTCTTCTTCAAGTTCTGGTGTACAATAATTACAATTATCACGATGACGATAATAATGTGTGTACAAACCAGATTTTCCCGAACCAATACATGTCCAAGTAAGCATCGAATCGCAATCAGTACAATATTTTCGACGATCGGTTGGGTCAGATCCACATTGAGCACAATACCATTCAATTTGTGGAGAAAACATAGTTCAAGTGTACTATGTGTTTGTTATCGATAGAAAGTGTGTCAGAGAAAATGAAGAGTAGAGGAAAGTGAAGATAAAATCACAGCTAAAACAAGAACGACTTGATTTGAATATGTCGCTAGAATAGAATGGATAACATATACCGACCATAAGATGTAAACAAATACGACGTGAAGCACGTTTGGCACAACAAATAAAAAGATGTACTTAATAATTCTCATTTCTAGTGTTCTATAGATTTCAGCTAGTGATAGATGAATAGCATTATATATGTAGTATAACTAGTAAAAAAATCAGATTTTTCTAACGCGTAGATGAAGTCACATCGATAAATCAATTTCGGGGTACCAGTCAAGTTGCTCATCCCCATATATAGACGCCTCAGAGATCGTTCTTCCTAATGCTGAAAATCCGAGCTCGATAGACTGAGCCAATCAAAAGCTATTCGAAAAATGCCTAGAGCCTTTCAACTCTGAAATGGACTATAATTAATACTTCATAAGAAAAAGAAAAAATGATTTCTTTTCGTACTTGAGAGAGAAGAGAATGGATTTTTCTCTGACCACACACATGTTGGCTATCTCCCTCTCTGTCTTTATCGTTACTCATTGATCACCATTCATCATTTCTCTTCGTTCAGGAAAGAATTTGAGTGGAGTTAAACTTGTAGAGAATCCATAATTTTGTTGGATGGATAGTTCCCGAGGACAAGGAACAAAAACAAAATTCCCATAAATGTGTCTGTCAAAAAGGAAACAATTAGTAGATGAAAACAAAGCTATTTGTGATGATAATGAGGTAAACGAAGAAACAGGCGAACAATAAAATGGGACAATGCTTCTAAATTCTGACAATCATCATCGAGAATCCTTACACCCTCTAATTCTAAAGACTCTAGTTAGTCTGTGTATTCCGTAGAATTCATCCGCATGTCTCATTCTTATTCAGCCTTGTGGACAAAATCATCTCTTCTTTAAAACTTAATTCTCTCCTTCTTCTCTGTCTTTTGTCTCTTACTGTAACACTTATTTTTTTTCTTATCTAAGTGCCACCACGAGCACCTTCTGTTGGCCTTCATCCGAATGCAAAGTGGGCTGAAAATGGTCTCACTGTAGCTGGAGGAAATGGCAACGGCAGTGGAATCAATCAACTCAATCATCCACAGAGTTTAGATGTTGACGATGATCAAACTATTTATATCGCTGATACACATAATCACCGTATTGTGCAATGGAAATCTGGTGCGACAAGTGGCCAAATCGTTGCAGGTGGAAATGGACAAGGCAATGGAGCTAATCAGTTAAATGAACCTCACGATGTGATTATCGACAAAACAAAAGATAGTCTCATCATCTGCGATAGAAATAATAGAAGAGTAGTTCGATGGCCTCGTCAAAGGGGTACTAGTGGAGAAACTATCCTTTCTAACATCGATTGTCAAGGTTTGGCATTAGATGAAGATGGATTTCTCTTTGTTGTTGACAGTGAAAACAATCAAGTGAAACGATATCGAATTGGTGATACTGAAGGAACAGTAGTTGCAGGTGGCAAAGGAGAAGGAAGTGGTCTCGATCAACTCATTAAGCCCACATACGTATTTGTCGATCGAGCTCATTCAGTGTATGTGTCTGATTGGGGAAATGATCGTGTGATGAAATGGGAAGCAGGTGCAAAACAAGGCACTATTGTAGCTGGTGGTCAAGGATCTGGAGATGGTCTTGACCAACTGTTTTTTCCTCATCAAGTTGTTGTCGATCAATTGGGCGCTCTGTACGTGGGTGATTCAAGGAATGATCGAATAGTGCGTTGGCTAAAAGGAGCCACACAAGGCAGTGTTATTGCTGGTGGAACCAGAGGACCAGGGCCGAATCAATTAAGTTTTCCTCGTGGCTTCTCATTCGATCGAAATGGTAACCTCTATGTTGCTGATTTATGGAATCATCGAGTGCAAAAATTTAATATCGAACAGACAACACTTTAATGATCATTGTTTCTTTATGTGCTTGCAAATGATTTTCATTTAATAAAAAGAATATTTCCCATTAATCAATAAATAGATGTAATATTCGTGCGCACACGACCACCAAACCGTTCCTGCTCTCTAAAAAAAAGAGCTTTGCAGAACCCCCGAAAAGATTCTGTAGATTTCTAAAAGCATCCAAATCTGTCCAAAGTCTCAAAAAAAGGGTAAAAAATTCGACAGAACCTTTTGGAGGTTCTGTGGAGTATTCACTAGCAGAACCATCTCTTACGAAACCTTTTTTAGGTTCTGTTCAGCAAAAAAAGGTTTTGTGAGCAAATACGAAACCTTGAGGGTTCAGTACAAAACCATTAACCTTTGGTACGAAACTCTAATGGTTTTGTACTGAACCCTCAAGGTTTCGTATTTGCTCGCGAAACCCTTTTTTGCTGTACAGAACCTAAAAAAGGTTTTGTAAGAGATTGTTCTGCTAGTGGATACTCCACAGAACCTTCAAAAGTTTCTGTCGAATTTTTTACCCTTTTTTTGAGACTTTGGACAGATTTGGATGCTTTTAGAAATCTACAGAACCTTTTCGGGGGTTCTGCAAAGCTCCTTTTTTTAGAGAGTGGGTGTGGGTGCGTGTGAGAATATGATTAGAGATAGAAGTAAAACGCCAACACCGACACCCATGCCCTTTAGAGATTCAGTAACACGAATATGTGCTGATTAATGTAGTACACGTTTACCATTATTCATTCCTTGTGCGAATGGACGAACACACAATGGTTTGGGTGTGGATATGGGTGCGGGTGGGTGTGGGTGTGAGTGGGTGTGGGTGTGAGTGTGGTGTGAGTGTGGGGTGGGAATGTGGGTGCGGGTGGGTGTGGGTGTGGGTGTGGGTGTCGGCTGTGAGCGCGTGTGGGTGTGGGTGTGAGTTTCATTCTTCTCTTTCCCTACACCCACACTCACACTCGCAGCCACACCCGCAGCCACACCCGCAGCCACACCCATTCTCACACGCACACCCACCCTCACACCCACACCCACATCCTCACACCCACACCCACACACACCCACCCACACCCACACCCACACCCACACCCACACCCA